CACGAAAGTGAAAAGCGATGTTTCAAACCAAACTTTATCCTATCTCAGTCAATCAAGCTCGAGCTGGTACTTGCGATCACAGTTTTGCGAGCTCTATCTCTGATAAAAATTTCGTAGAAAATGTTTCAGCTTTACCTGGATTTTAACATGTCCATGGACTTCTGAAGAGTACTGTAATGTGCCGATATGCTTCAAGAGTTCTATTAACATATACCATTACATAGTAGTGGTAATCCCTAATGATAATGACAGTGTGTGTAATAATAACGTTATCTTTACAATATCAATAATAATACTAAAATCTATACCAATAGTAGCATTGATATCAATACTAATAATCAGATTTAGATTACAAATAATGGCGATAAACAAAGTAATACTATGGAATAATCTATTAATAGGAATTTCGAACAATTTATCTGTGTGTGAAGATTTGAGATCTTTCTAATACATCTTCGGTATTAATAATAATATAAGTATGATAATGAATATTGTTGGAACTGAACACTGTATTGAATTAAAAATCTACAAGACTTATCCATACTAAAATTAAAATAAATAAATCAAATGGAACCAAATCTATTGAGGAAAACAAAACTAATAAAGATAATAATCTTTCATATGAATATGCGTTTTTCACAACTTCAGCTGATATATCTATGCATGGTATTAATTTTATTATTACCTGTATTTTTATGATTGATATGAATATAGATATTAATGTTAGGATTATTATTGATTTTTTATAAATAGTATTATTATTATTATTATGTGTATCAGTATTATGATTAACTATTTTTATTCTGTTATAATTTATGTTAATATTATTATGATTTAAACATATAATCTGATTATATTATTATTAGTGTCTTTAGAAGTTGTGTTTTTAAATATATCTCATTTTATTTGGTTTGTTATAATTTTCATGGTAATCTATTCGTTATTATCTTCAGGCTAAGCTCTTTTAAATCTCTTCCATCTCCTATATATATATGTATATGTTCAATGTTTTTTGCTCTATTTTAACCCTTTGAGGACCGTGGGACATACGTTGTCCCACCTGTTTTTCAGTAGAAAAAATGTTTGCTTTACCTTAAACTCTTATGCTCTATAAGATAATAAGTTGCTTCACTTGCTATCTGATTCATATCTTTTCTCTCTTTCTTCCTGTCATATAGATCTTTCTCAGATGTTCTTCTTTATTTATATTACTATACAATGACGTCATATTCTCTCACTCTCTTTTCTTTATGTATTATCATAAAGTTTTTATGTGATCATTTTCAGCCCTATACAGTAAATTGGTTGAAGAACTACTTGTCGATTGAAAAAAAATTCGATCCTCAAAGGGTTAATCAGAAATGAAAAACTTCGTTGTCACATATTGGGCAATTTATTTTCGTTTGTGTACAATGTTTAGAGTTGACTACCATTTTTAAGTGTTATATAGATTATCCAAGAAATTATGTTTTTACTTGTCAAAAATACATCTATTGACATTAGAATGGATTTATTTTTGTTTTTCAAATAAAAATATAGTATAGAGAACCTTCGTTGTTATTGTTCCTAAGAATATTATTTTTATAAAAAAATGTTTTCTTTCAAAGTTTTGTATCCTGAAATTTCGAATACATTTATAAAGGATGTTGTTCTGACAAGCCTGAAAATACGATACATCGAATTTATTATAAAAGTATTTAAAAAAAAAAAGATAATGAAATCTTATTTTTTTTAATCATCACCATCATCTGGATAATCAACTACATCACTTTCATGATCTGATACTATTTCTGCTTTTTCTTGATCAAGTTCATCTATATGATCATCATCGTCAATATCATTTTCAATGGTAGTTTTACGATACGTAAGATGAGTTTTACATATTGTTCTTGGAAGACCAAATGTAGTTTTCGAAAGAGACATATTTTCAAGAAGTCTTGCTTTTGTTTGCTCGATTAAATAATCTTCTGTTTTTTTCTTCTCTTCGTTGTATAATCGAATAGCTTCATCTAATGAAATAAGTTTTATTTTTGTCACTGTTATTTTACTATTACGTTCAGCTTGTTGAGCTTCTAAATATTCATCAGAAAAATTATTATTATTAATTGTTGTTTTAGTAGAATCTTTGACAGATTTTTCTAGATGAACTTTCTCTTGAATAATATCATTATCTTTTGATGACATTGTCATTTGACTTATTTGATTTGTTACAATATCACAATCTATAGGAGATGATGGTGTTTCAAGAAACTTTTCGATTTCAACTATTGCATTACGTAGATGTTTATCTTCATCCGGTAAAGCATTGAGTAAGCGTGTATTATTCAACATATGTTGATGCTTTTTAAGTAAAAGTCTCAGTTCACTTTTACTCATTTTACTATAGTCAGATCTTTTTGTTTGCTGTATCATCTCTTGGCAAGTTATAATAAGCAATTAATATCGTCGATGTATAGAGAACGATATCTGTTCTGTTCTTACTTATAATGGAACAGAAAGGGAGAATGCAAATATGAAATGTGTATAGAAAAAACAGATGTCGTGCTCTACACATTTACGAGAAGAGTTACGTATTACAACTTACAACGAGGTAAATGATCAACTCTGATCAAATACATGTTACGATGATGAAAACGTGTGAGTTGATGGCAACATCGATCTGCCAGAGCAATGTTTCACAGAAAAAGAAAGATTCAATCAGTAGTTATCCTCCTGTCATCGTGTCTTCAATGATATACAAATCACTTCAGTGTATCTAGTACAATGCAAGTTTTTGAAACATGTCTATGAAAATATAGGAATTAATTTCTGTTGCATAATAACATATTATGCTAATGGAGATGTGGAAAAGTTTTATATGGCTCGTTTGTTTTTGAAATGCATTGAAGATAAAATAGTTTTTTTAATGGTATGCGACACTAAACTTACTGTGATGAGTTTCTCAATAAGAAAAAAAAACACTAATTTTAGCAAAAGTCACTATACAAGAGAATTTTCGGATAGAATATGTCGAGAATAGAATAGATAGCTATTGCATTATTGATGCAATCAAGTAACATCAAACCTGATGACAGTTTTGCTTTTTTCTACTTATATGAAAGAAGAATCAGAACTGTGAACAAAAATCTATATTCGATTCTGTTCGTAAGTTGATCAAGTTATTTCATTAATTTTCAAAGACATATCCGATGGAGCAACAAAGTATGAAAGTAGATTGATTTTAACAAACGAAAAAATGTTCGAAATCTTTAAAAAGTAACGGTTGGAAGACATATTATAAGTGTTAGTCTCAATGAATATGAATAAATTTGAATATTAGAATGAAATGAAATCTAGATAAAATCATTAAATGTATATTTAGTAACGTACAAAAAAAAAGAAAGAATGTTCGTAAGTTAATATTTGATTGTTATTGTCAATTCAACTCAACAGATATATGATGACATATAGTTGTAGTTAATTACCGAAAACTAAACTACAGTAATTTGACGATACTTTACTTTAATATCATCACTAATATTATATTTTTGAATTTTTACAATCTTCTAATAAATATATTCTGAGCAGCTGCCTAATTCGACTTATAATATAAATGGAGATCGAAAAAAATACAGCACTCATGTTAGCAAAAGAATAACACTTTTTCTTCATCACTTATCGTTAATTATAAAACATAAATCATGGAGACTTTGCTGTAAAGCTAGGCAAAAAGTTTTACTGTTTTAGTCCTTTATTATTTATGATAAAAGCTATAAATGATGAAGACTTTACTGTAAAGTTAGGCAAAAAGTTTTACTTTATTTGCCATTTATCATTTATGATAAAAGCTAAAAATGGTGATGCCTTTATTGTAAAATTAGGCATCTCATGCATATTCACCATCTATTACTTTCGTATTATAGCAAAAAGATAGTTATGAAGATCTAATGTTGCATGAATTAGAAAAAGACTCGAAGAATATAGAATATGAAAATAAAATCAAAATTTAGATTTACAATAATAGTGAGTTAGAATGAAAAACTAAATAATTAAAATATTAGTCTTGTCAAACTTTAAATTGATAAAAGAGTTTTGTTTTTATCGATTCAGTTGATCAACTTGTACGATAAGATTCTACTGAGAAATGATTGTTTTTTGACTCACAAATCTGTAGTTATGAGTTTTTGTTTCAAATATAAGAGATTCGATATTGTTATGTTTTTGAAAGCTATTATGATTTTTATATCTAGAAGCAAACGAATGAAGATCAAACCTGAGGACACGACAATATCAAGATGATCCCAAGACATCGGGCCAAATGAATTTGGTCAAGCCGAGTCAAGTAGCAAAAGTCAGCATTCAGCCTTCAAACTAACGAGAACATATACTTCGTTCTGAAATAAGATGTTCAAGGTATAATAACGATTGGTCTGACATAAATCAATCTTTTTCTTTTTTTTTTTTGTTTAGGTTATGTTGTTGTTGGTCTCAATCTATTTGATTTTCTTGTGAGCCGTATAGAAAATTTTTGTCTAATAGTATTGTTTTGTTCATAATAAATATTCAATATTGTGTCACTGTGAGATTGTCTTTTAGACTTGATATATCCTGATTGTCTTGAACAACCGTGTAATAATGACTTTCAAATATGTTTATGAAGAAATATTTTTTTTTTTTTGATAATTCTCTTAGGATAAACAAGTGGTTTTACAGGAATTTGTTCGAGTACATCATGCATAATGGGTTTTATTTTAAACTACTATTAAAATAATAATTTTCTAATATATACATAGACATTTTATCATATCACAATCTAATAAACATGTTACTTTAGTAGACAGGTGGTCTAGATAAATATATAACTGTAGTACAAGAAAATAATTATAATTAGTAAAATAAAAAGAGACTCGTATTTTCATTCATTTCAAATAAATTTCATAATTAATATTTATAATGTTTATGTTTATTCTTATCTATTGTTCTATAATGATTTTGAATTGAAAGAAAAAGGTATATAAGTAGTATTTATATTAAATAATTATTTTTATACAAAGTATTATTTTGTTTTTTTTCTATTTTAAAAGTTGAAAAGTCTGCTTGATGAATTTCAGTTGTTATAAATGT